CGGGGTGGGGGGGTTAGTGGGGATCTGTGTGAATGTGGGAAAGTGGAGCTCCAGAGTGCACTTCTGCTGCCATCAAAGACTTGGACGAGGCACGCCCCGTACACTGCAACGGGGAGTGATCCAATGAGATGATTTCAAATGCTGGATCTTTGTTCTTCTGTCGATGCCAGCTACATACAGTGACTGAATAGCATGTCTGCCTCAAAGTTGAGATTCAAGTCTCAGCCTAGGCCATCCTATGTGGCGGTACATGAAGAAGTAGTATTTTTTTAAAAAAATGGATCGATTCTGAAGTGAAATGACTTGGAATTTATTAGAGGGGGGAAAAATGTGAAATGTCAGACTGAAAAATGGGTAATTTAAGTGACAGAGGTAATATTTCGAATGTAGCCATTGATATGAATTCAGGTTGTTGTGAAAAATGTGGAGAAATTGTGGGATGTGAAATGGTTCTCAAGATCCTAAACTTTGGGATTACTTTGAAGTTGGAATCGCTTGTATGGAGTGGGAGATCAGAAGTAGAGATAATTATATATTTTTAAAATCTCTTAGTTTGGGAGTTTTATTCTTAAAAAATTGGGAAATTCGGGCAGTATTATAGTTTCCAAGATGTCCCGAATGAGTGAAATATTTTGAATTTGTAATTTGGGTTCCATCCATGGAAATGTTGAAGATGGAGGTAAGTAAATATTTAAAATGTCTGCACTGATTAGGCAATGTTGGGAATTAGGTAAATGTCAAATGGTTCCCAAGATGTCCTGATTTATTTTTTTGTTTTGTTTATTTTTGTAAATTACAATCATTATGAACTTAAAAAATAATAAACAATTCAGGCAAATTGCATCATTTCCCACAACACCAGGGTTGGTGCGTGTTCTATGTGTCCATCTTGTCATTGATGAAATCACACTTGTCCTTGCATGCAATAAAAAGCTGCTTCTCACACATGATTTCATGCGATTAAGCGCAGTGAGTGACGGCCGTCTCTTTCATGGTACTTTGTAAATGAGGTGGGTGAATACGAGCAACATAAACAGTCGGCGGGATTGTTGGCCACGTCCTGGGAATCTCGTGCAGCTCTGCATTCCTGTTGGCTACTTGGAAGAAAAAAAAAAAAAAAGCCAAAGCTGGGGAGGTCCCATTGACGAGCAGTGGGGGTGAAGCAGCAAAGCGAGTCTCTGTGTCATCCATGTGATGTGCAAGCAGACACACTTCTTTTGTCCCGCACAAGTGCGTTGAATGGAAGCCAGTGTGGGAAAGCTGAGGAAAGAGACTCACAGCCCCGCATGCACAATAGACAAAATGGGAGGGGGGCGGCCGCGGGGTCTCTTCAGATGTTTACATCAAGCGGCTCATTCATTTTAATCCGCATTCCCAGCCGACATATATTTTAAGACTCTTTTGCTTTGTATTTATTTTCTGGGAATTGCAAAAAAAAAAAAAAAAAAAAAAAAAAAAAATCACAATATTGGCAGTTTTTCATTGCATGACCTTTTAATTCTTGCATGGGCCGTAAACATTGTGTTGATTTTGTACTTCTCCACTTTGCAAATGAATAAACTCAACATTATATAGTTATGTGAATAAACTCAACATTATATAGTTATTAAAAGAAGAAGCACCACAAATCAAAATGGGTCAAACCAGCTTGTCTTACTGGAATAGTGTTGTAATATTTAATATAGTTTCATCCAGTAGGCTGTGATTTATTTGGACTTCAAAATGAAAAAGCGAAAGTTTGCCATACTTTGCATATGTTGAACCTCAACAGTGGCATGCAAAGGGGAGGGGGCCCGAGGGGCTGGCGACATCCAGCCCCCTTTCCTATTGAAGCAAAATTTGGAATGTGCAGCATAATTAATTCAGCTGGTTATGTATGGCTAATAAGTGTGATTAAATAAAGTGTTGTCAGCCAATGGAGCTCCTTTTGTAGAACCATTCAATGCTGGGTCAAACCCCCAGTCGAACGTTGACAGATTAATCGGCTGGTTGATTTAATCGATCGATATTAGCCCTTTGTGTCACGTTTGCATGGTGGTGGTGGACCCCAAAAAGCAGGCAAGAGGGAGGAGCAGGGTGTACTTGACAGATTGTATTAAGACATAGAGAAAACAAAATCCTAAACAAACAAAGTCCTGAAAACAAAACAAATCCAAAGTATCAAACAAAAACCATGGCGGGAGCTAAAAACTCAATAACAGAAACATGACCGAAACAAACCTGACAGCAGCAAAAAGCAACAATGACCCGACAATGAGTGCTCGGGCTGGGAGTCCTTTTAAAGCACTAATCACATAATGACCAGCAGGTGTGCAGCCTAAAAATTCGACTCAAATTCAGCCCAAGAATGTATTATCCAATTTGGCCACAAGATTACGTCAAAACAGATGTTTACTAAGCTCTCGCCAGCTCGCAACAGGTCCAGGTACAGCGTATAGTATCTAAATCAAATATGGTTAAATTGAACATACCAAAGCCAATGCAAAAGCAAGCGAGTGCGCCTTTGGTGGGCTTCCATCTTGGCCCCGACGCAGACCGCAGCAAGCCTTTTGAATGGCGCGACGTCGACACTTCGGAAAAAAGCGATTTTGAACGACTACATTTCCATTTGTGGACATGGAATTTAGCCAAAGACTTTACTCAGGTTGTATGATTGCCTTTTTACACGCGCGCTGTTTTTTTTCTCTCTCTCTCTGCCTGTTCAAAAAAAAAAAGAAACACGCCGGCGTATGGCTGAATAAAAAAAAACACCTCATCTTCTCATTCTTGGGATGAGTGAAGTCACCCCGCTCACGGACTTTTTTTCCATCATTTTTGAAGAAGCCAAACAGCGACTGCGTGCATCCTTCTTTCCGCATTGAAGGGCATTTCAGTACTGCATATAGTTGGAAAAATAGTTCAGTTGAGCGCACACAACACAGTCTATTTTTCCAGTCAAGTCGGAGTCAATATGATCAATGATAAATCGGGGGAACGCCCCAACTTGTGGAAATGAAGTTTGCTCCTCGTCGGTCCCTTTATTTATTTGTTTGTTTGTTTGTTTGTTTGTTTGTTTATTTATTTTTGGACGGAAGATGTCAGGAGGACCCGGACGCTCCCCCCGTCCGCTGCCTTCCTGGAATCAGTCTGAAATGTTTGGTCTGTGTGCAAATGTCTGTTCCATAAAGCGTAACAACATCGCCACATGAATGATATTCGTTACTCCATCGATGGCATTTCTATTGTATTGTATTCTATTCTATTCTAACTAAAAACCTGTTCCTGAAAGTAGATGTACGCGCACCAGCCACAATATTCGGCACACCTGAAGGTTAACTTTCTTTATTCCTGTGGTGGTTTGCAGTGATATTTGTGTCAGTCCAAACTGAGCAATGGCATCTGTATATTGTATTAAATGCAGTTCTTCCACCATAATCCTTGCACACGCGTGTCTAATATTCACCTTGCTATTGTTTCATCGCATTCACACAGGGCGTATTTGAGTGCCCTGCTACAATTAAGGTTCGGTTAAGGCCCAGGTGCGAGAACACTCTTTCCTCTCACTCGTAGCACAACTTCATGCGACAAGCGATGCAAAACTGTAAGCGAGTTGATAAAGTTGTGTTGCATCATCATAATCAGACTCGGGTGGCTAATTTATTATTTTGGAGAATATATCTAAGCATGATCTAAACTTGTGCAATCTCATACACGCAGCATATAGCTCCCGGCCCCCCACCCCTTTGCTAAACACTGCTGCCCTCTAGTGCTCAATAGCATTAATGATGAAGTGTCAGATGCAGTTTTAAAATCTAATCAGAATGGCAACAGAAATGTCAAAATATGATATGGCAAATTTGCAGTGAAGCTTCATGAGAAAACTTAAACTCAAAATATAAAGTAATTACTGTAATCAGTAAAGTATCGTGACAACAACAGCAACGTTCGCTTTACTTAAGTGAAGTATATCAGTAGTCTATCGAGAGTTAATCGATAACACAGTGGTCATCTATTTTGTAATATATTTGCATATTTGCCCCTTGTATAAAATACCGTACATCTAATGTACGGTAGGGCAGGGTCCAGTACACGCATTCTTATCAAAATTCGTATCAAAAATATTTAATATTAAATTTGTATCAAAAAATGTAATATTGATGAATACGTTTTTCAATCAAGTAAAACCAACATGGCTTAAGCAAATATTTACGACTTTGGAATTTAAATTGATACCTAATCATTAGGTATCAATTTAAATTTTGAGAAGAATGCGTGTACTGGACCCTGCCCACCAAACCAAACGTGCTCGCTGATTGGCCCAGCGGACGCACGCCTGGTGACTCGTCAGCACGTCGTCGACTATGGCGGAATGTAGCCAAGCTGACAGCGGCGACGGCAGGCGCCACCCCACCCAG